CTTTACATGGTCTGGTGTCTTTCCATCTTCCCAGTAACTTTACATGGTCTGGTGACTTCCATCTCCCAGTAACTTTACATGGTCTGGTGACTTCCATCATCCCAGTAACTTTACATGGTCTGGTGACTTCCCAGTAACTTTACATGGTCTGGTGACTTTCATCTTCCCAGTAACGTTACATGGTCTGGTGACTTCCATCTTCCCAGTAGCTTTACATGTTTTGGTGACTTCCATCTTCCCAGAAAGGCGTGGACAGTTTGTTGGACAAATGTCTGTAGGGGGTTTTCTCTGAATGACAACAGTTTTAGGGAACAATGGCATTTATCTACCATTCTCTATAAACTGTCCTTTTTTCACCAGGATTTTTACATGAGATTTACCTGTGTTTCGCAGAAAACATTTCTTCATATATAATGAATGATGATTTTTAAAACATTTTTGAAATGTTGTTATATATCGTAGTAGATGTTATAAATTTCAAGTTGAAAATTAACAGCCAAATTTGAAGTTTTGAATATATATTTTCCATGAAATTGTCATAGCAAAAGACAATGGCTTGTGCGGAACATTGAAATACATGTTGGTTATATACAGTGTACATATTTTCGACTGTTAAGAAATGACAGGATTCAGTTTGGAGATCACAACAGAGAAGCCATGATGCACACTTGTCCACTTGTGTATTATGCTGAGTCTGCATTGGATCTGATGACTACGAATTTGTTATTCATTAAAATCGGCCTTATTGGTGTTTACTGTGAGTCTAACGATTATATAATTGCTTATTCGTCAAATTTAGGAAAGTCTTCACGCTTTTATCTTATCAAAATGTGTTACTAAGTGCACAAAGTACACTTAGTATTATACTGAAGTGAAGAATTTCATTTCCTCATGTGCAGCAACAAATTTAAAAAGTACTCCTCCGTCGGACTAGTGACCTGGTAAAAAGTACTCGTCCGTCGGACTAGTGACCTTGTAAAAAGTACTCGTCCGTCTGACTAGTGACCTACTAAGTACTCGTCCGTCGGACTAGTGACCTGGTAAAAAGTACACGTCCGTCGGACTAGTGACCTGGTAAAAAGTCCTTTTTTCCGTCGGACTAGTGACCTGTGTAAAAAGTACTTCATATATAATGAATGATGATTTTTAAAACATTTTTGAAATGTTGTTATATCGTAGATGTTATAAATTTCAAGTTGAAAATTAACAGCCGGTTTTGAATATATAAAAAGTTATCGTCTGTCTGACAAGTGACCTGGTAAAAGGTTATCGTCCGTCGGACTACAGAGAAGCCTAGTGCACACTTGTCCCTTGGTAAAAAGTACGAATTTCCTCCGTCGTCTAACGATTATATAATTGCTTATTCGTCAAACTAGTGACCTGCACAAAGTAAAAAGAATTTACTCGTCCGTCTGACTAGTGACCTACTAAGTACTCGTCCGTCGGACTAGTGACCTGGTAAAAAGTACACGTCCGTCGGACTAGTGACCTGGTAAAAAGTACTCGTCCGTCGGACTAGTGACTTGGTAAAAGGTTATCGTCCGTCGGACTACTGACCTGGTAAAAAGTACACGTCCGTCGGACTAGTGACCTGGTAAAAAGTACTCGTCCGTCGGACTAGTGACAAGGTAAAAAGTACTCGTCCGTCGGACTAGTGACCTGGTAAAAAGTACTCGTCCGTCGGACTAGTGACCTGGTAAAAAGTACTCGTCCGTCGGACTAGTGACCTGGTAAAAAGTACTCGTCCGTCGGACTAGTGACCTGGTAAGTACTCGTCCGTCGGACTAGTGACCTGGTAAGTACTCGTCCGTCGGATTAGTGACCTGGTAAAAAGTACACGTGACATGCCACAATTACATTTATCTCAAAAGCATGCGCAGTCACCTGTGACGAGTAATAAACTATATATAACATGTAAGGGATATTGATAAACATATTTTAGAAATGAGAGAAAATTGATTTCATCTTTACATCTTTTAAAATTCTATCTATAACTTATGGGACGAGATAAATTTTATCAACATTGATTACACATGCCTCAGGCAAATCCAGTGCTGTTATGTTTACAAAGTTATCTTATTGGTTGTATAACTAAAAGTGCCAGATAAAAGATACATTAACAATATTAAAAACATTAACAACGATAAAAAAGATATTTTTAATCATTCAAACATTAAAACATTTATCAAATACACAGAAATGTACATCCTATATTGATAATTATTTCATGTACACATTTAAAGTGCAATAACCAATGTAGACCACTTGGAAACAGCACGGTGATAAAGTAATAGTTCTATAACTATCAGAGGAGTAAAGTCATGAAGATTCACCAACAACACATAATTGATAAAAACAGGACACTTGTGCTATCTATTGTTTATTTGAATATGAGAAACTGACGTGGTTGTGCTATACCCCTTTCACCGTGGATAGTTCCGACTGGCCTCCCGTATGTTGTTCATTGAGGTAGTCACCAACTACTGCATAGAGACCCCGTCCCGGAATGACCCTGGCTGTTAAGAGGACGATAAACCCAGGAAACAAATTATTGGTTTGTTTACGTTGATATCACATACTACCGATATTCAATAGTGGATAATATTGAAACAATTATTTTCGTTTGTGTTAACTACCGGTATTTCAATCCCAAAAGGTCACAAGGACATTTTTTTTTTAAACTTTTTAAGTTATTTGAGATTGACCTGCTTTAAAACTGATATTTTTCTAGAATATCCCGGCAGTAAGGTTCTAGGGGAACGATTCAAACGGTTATCTCTGAACAGAAATTTTGACATAATTGCAAATACATTGATGTTTATGCTCGATTTTATCCAGTTCTTGTGCAAACATGTTCACATCTTTGATACTCCAGGGGTTACATTTTCTCTCTCTGCATCCTTGGATCATGTCATGGTAAAATTGAAGGTTCCATGTGCGACATTTTGTGCACAAAAAGAGATTAGTTTGACTCTTTGATGTAAATCAAATGAATCTCGCGGTCGGATAACGGTATGTTGTACTGGCTTTGAAATGGAGTGTCGTTCTTTGTAATTTCCAAAAGGAGCGTATCAACCTGTGATTGGTCAGTCTTTTTCTCCTCGAACCAATCAAATTACTTCGCTTGTACCTTCAATTTTGCTATGACATGTCCCAGGAGTGCAGAAAGCGAAAGTGATGGTTACGCCTGTAGTATCGAGGATGACATGGTCATCACTTATGGACTCTTAAAAAAGCAATATAAACCGTGATTGTTTAAATAAATAAATAATAATAAGGATGATGATAAAAAAAGCCAAATAAACATTTGCTTGAGTGTTGTAACAATATAAAAGTCTGACTGTTTATGTAGCATCACAATGGAAATGTGATGACGAGGTTAGAGAATGACTGTTATATTGTTAAATGGATGTTCAGGAGTCCCGTGTTGTTATATAACACACCGACCAAACATCGTCCAGTCAGGTGGAGGACGTGAAATTCTTATGATTTATAACACAACAATCTACTTTGTATGTCGGTAGATTCGGCATGATAAATTCAAGTATTGTTCAAATTACTACAGTCATAAATTATATCTTGTGAACAATTTATATTATTCAAAAATTTCATAAAATTCATATATTTCTTTAGATATAACATATCTCTGGCCGGGTTAACGTGCGCAACATGAAACGTGCACGCGTATGTAAATACGGGTGGGGTCATTAAAACCCCGAATTACGCGTGAGGGTTTCACTTTTCGTGAAACGTTCCATATTAACGGACAATTCAAACATACTACCAATGTAATAAAGGTTATCAAGTACATTGTATACCATAAACATTAAATAGAGACTAAAATGTACAATCTTCAGATACTGTTTTCGTATCTATGATGTCATTGGGTTAAAGGTTAACTTCCTGGAATGCATCTGTACATTGTGGATTTATCACGTGACTTGATAGGATACATATGTATGTACTAAATTAGGAGTGATCATGACTTAGTACAGTTCATCAACGACTCCCACGTACTTCCTGAAGTGTACATCAGTACATTTCATTTATGTCTCCCGTGTACTTGGTGGACTACACTTAATTGATGACTCCCGTATAATTCGTGAGGTGTAATTTGGAACACTAATTGTTCCTGCTTACTTAGTGAGGATTGACTTGGCACGTACTTCGTGAGGTGTGGCTTAGAAGTTCATTTAGGTGAGTCGTGCTTTGCAAAGTTCACTATTTGCTTCCGTATACATGTGACCTGGAAAAGTTCATTACAGGCTTCCGCGTATTTCCTGAGGTGTGACTTGGTACAATTAGTTGGAGACTCGCCAATTTTGTGAGGTGTGACTTGGTACCATGCATTGTGCACTCCCGCGTAATTCGTGAGGTGTGACTTGGTACAATTAGTTGAAGACTCGCCAATTTTGTGAGGTGTGACTTGGTACCATGCATTGTGCACTCCCGCGTAATTCGTGAGGTGTGACTTGGTACAATTAGTTGAAGACTCGCCAATTTTGTGAGGTGTGACTTGGTACCATGCATTGTGCACTCCCGCGTAATTCGTGAGGTGTGACTTGCTAAGAGTTCATTTATAGCCACTTCCTGCTTCGTGTGGAGTGTTCTTGTCTGGTACTACTTTTTTTTTAATTTTGTCATTGTTGACATCGGCATTTGTGTATTATAATAGCACTTAGAAAGAGTACAAATAGTTTCAGGTAACAAATATTTGTTCCATTTAAAATATCGGCGCCATTTTATTTTCTATAGCATTGATCACCCGATTTCGTTGTTAATATTATATGCGTTCCATAACGTCACAGACCACCTAGGAAACACCAAACGAGAACATTTATCTAAAAATATATCTCGAAGAATTCTTGTCATCTTCGTCATCGATTCTGTCGTGCGATATAACCTTATAACATATGTTATTGCAGTTGATGACGAGTTTCAAAATGTTCACATTTGTATACAAAAATCTCGTTAGGTATTCGTTGTCAGTGCCACAGTTATCACTTACATACTGTCACCCATTCATTGTACGAACAAGTTTTGCACACGACGTAACAACACCAGTGGAACTTGCAGTCGCATCTTTCAGTACGTTTGACTCGGAGGGTGTTGTAGCCACGCCCACAACATAGCGTTTGACAGTTGTTCACACCGGAACTAGTTTTATTACACAGTCGACCAGAGGTTCCTATGGAGTCAACGCGAGGGTTGACGTCACAATAATTAGGGGATCTCTCGTAGAATATCAGATCTGACTTTCGAGTGTTGCGTCTAATTCGACGGTACCTCGCTGCGGCCGCATTGAGAATATTCACCTGGAAAATACAGAACAGGACACTATTGGTAACTGTTATGTACAATTTTGAAAAGTAATAACTTAGAATATTTACAAACAATGAATACACAGGAGATCTCTTATATCAGAGTTTTGATCTTTAATGAAATAAAGAATTTGGTAAGATTAATCCATTCACACAGTAAAATTTCGAGATGTCTTAAAATTCTATAGGAGTTGCCTCCCTTAGACATAAAGATGTAGATTGTAAGCAATGGCATACTCCGTCCGCCCTTTAATTCCCATGAAAGGAAGTGAGAAGATAGAATAATGTCATTCTCTTTACCTTTACCTTTCTCGCGGCGTCATACTTCTTTTTTAGCCGGATTCCAACCTCCCGGAAATCGGGTGTAGATTTCCAACATGTCTGAATCTCACAACTCCCAGACATCCCGTGGCATTTGCACTTCCGGCGAACATTTCTTATAACAGACTGTAATGATGAAAATAATGCTATATAGAATATATTTATCATATCACGGGAATATCGAGTCAACACGAGCTCACATGGACACCAAAATGCAAAATAAATGTCACATCAAGAAAAACGTTATATCATTTTTTAAAACGACTTCACAAAACCAAATAATGACATGACGGCCATCGGAAAGAGCAAAGTGTGGTTAGTACTTAATGAAGGTTTTCATAACAACCTCGCCGGGGTTTGCTATCAGCTGACCACTCATAGCTGGTAGAATGATCTCCATACAGAGGGATTTGGTGGTTAAGAAACGGAACAAAAGATGTTTCGTCCTATATTCATTTAAAATCTTATTTCAAGTGGTTACACCATTTTTAGTTGACTAATGAATTTAGAAATGATTTTTGTACACGATAATTCCTTATCTACATCTACATTTGCTCAAAGCAAAGTTCTTCAAATTGGTTGAACACACCAAAGGACACTAGATTTTAAAAAAAAAGTCTTATCTGACACACGCTGGTTACTAAGTATAAAGGGAGGGCACAGGTTTGATTTTCAAAACATTGTGTCTAAAGCGTACCTTAGTATACATTTATATATTCGTGTTTTGTACGTCCTTTCCGTTAGAGAACTTGTATATACACTATGTTCATGGTTTATATGTACTTTACAATGGTGCGGCTCTTCATGGTCGACCCTACTATATTTATTGTGGAGAAGTAATCTTTAAGATCAAAGTACGGAGAAATTATGTCTACAACGTTCTTATAGTTGTGTAATAGATAGTCCCTGACATTGTAACGCCAAACCTTGAGATGAATTGTGCTCTTTAATACCAAGTAACAACCGACTGCATATATGCGGTTCGGTCAGAAAAACCCTCATAAAATCTCGAATCAAAGAATGGCAAACGAGATTTAGGTAACGTGATAAAGAATCGAGTTACACTGGTATACTTTTCACAGACTACGTTGGCCGTTTTTTGTCGGAACCGTTTATACAAGAGTCTCGATGGTTCTTAAATAAGGTTTGATACATAAACCCCTAGGGGTAATTAGAACGGCACATTACACTCTCCGAACCAACTGCGAGACTTGTAATCCGGCTGTTTTGAAACTGGTATCGATGTAAATATCACAAGTTTGACCGACAACTCGTCCGATTAACGAGAAGCTGGTTCGAGGAGAATGAAATCTTGATTTTTATTATTCCCAATCACCATAGTTTCATCATGGCCTTTCTCATACTCTCAGCTAATTAATAGTCATCGCCGTTTCATCGGCTCCACTTTCCACAATCCATTCTCCATAATCCTTGTTCCCGCTATCCCATATACCTTCAATTGTGCCATTCCCGATGCCCCGTAATTCCCGTTTTCCCATGCATCCTTCGGTGAAATAGCTGTTTGTCCTATGAATCCCGCTGTCACATCACCCTTGCTATCACATAGTTTCTTCAAATTACATATATCACAATATCACCAATTAGTTCAAACTACCAACTATACTTTTTATAGTCCATGCTGTCCTAATGTCCACGCTCTCTCACAGAAATCGCAGTCCAATTGTCCCCGCTTCCCACAGACCTCGCAGTCCAATTGTCCCCGTTTTCCCACAGACCTCGCAGTCCAATTGTCCCCGTTTTCCCACAGACCTAGCAGTCCAATTATCCCCGCTCTCCCACAGACCCTGCGGTCTTGTTTTCCCTTCGCTTTCATATACCCCGTTGTCCTCTTGTCCCCTCTCTTCTCTAGACCCCGTTTTCCTTTTGGAAACAATATCCTCCCTGATCTATAGTAAATGCGATCTACGCCATGTTTACGATGATGGTTCTAAGTTAAGTAAGTGTAAGTATATTTGTGACCATCTGTTAATGAACAGTTGTAAGCACAACCTAACCGCAAAGTGACACAGAATGATGGCAAGGCAAAATTGTCTTAAAACACAACGAAACTCCCTTACAGTAGAATATTTACAGCTTCATATGTTGACAATACGAGTTAACATAAAATGGATTTTGTACGGAAAAGAAAAAAATATAAGAAAGCAGGAAGATTGAAAGAACACTTTCATTCACAGCATGAGCTCTCTCGTCTGCGGTCGCCATATTTGTTGTAGGTTTCCGGCGCGTGACCGTGCTATCACCATAGATACCGCGCGTGCCAGACGGGCGATTTATTGGCCGTATAATTAGCTCAATTTTCTGCAACAGTCTGTTTCTCCAACCTCTTGAGTTTTCATTGATGAAGAGACTACGAGAAACTTTAAACACATTCCGTATGTTCGTCTAACGACTGTTCGGGGAACCGCCTTGCTTTAGGTCTGACGGAAATTCAAGTACATCACACGTAGACAATGTGGCATTTAACTTACGTAGTCATTAAATGTAAATTAAGGTTTGATTTCAAACTTTACGATTCTACTGTTGTTGTATTTTTAGTCTATGGTAATTTGAATATTTCTTGCATCCCGCCAGGAACAGTTGATCGGAATAAAACCTCTTGAGATTCCTGTGTTGTAACCACTAATATACAATTTAAACTCGACTCATGTCGTTCATCTTGCGTTATAACTAACAAGACACTTGTGAGTCTACACATGTAAACACGTAAGATGATGTAGGGTAGGTATTAATCCCTCTCTGATTCAGTGTTGGGCCCTCGGAATCTGTTAAAGCCATTTTGATAAAGTGCTTATTGAGGAAAACCTAGTTCAGGCAATAGAAAATCTTTACATGCTACACTTACCAAACGACCTGCTCTGTTGTTGTGTAAATTTATTTTGGCATGAATGTCCTTTGCTCTTTCCTTCACATCCAAAAATTTGGCGGAAAACTTTTCTCCGAATTCGACGTTGTGACTACAACCGCCCCACTCCCATTTGTCCTTGACCTTCCCGTGTTGCCTCATGTCACATCCACAAGACTGTAACTTCCCCATACTGCAAGCCTTGGCTACCTGATGTGTCACTCCCGCCGCCAAGATGGCATAGGCGAAAGCTGATTCCCGAAAACCTGGGAGATGAAATTGTTCAAAATTAATTTCAGTTCAAAATTAATTTAAATTCAAAATTAAAACAATGATGTTTGTATTACCTAAACAGACGTAACTGGGGGAAAGGAAGGATTAAAAATTGTCAACTTCCGGAAATGTTGAGAATAAAAAGATACGAAACTACGTCTGATATAGTTATTGTGCTAGTACATAACGTAATAGTAAATGATGCCATACCAGAGCGTTGACTATAGGGGGTATGATACTTATATGTACATATACACACATTGTATACAGCGGTAATTCAATAATTTAAACAAAAATTAAATTTAGGAGAAAACAAACTTAACACATCTTCTGAAAACAAAAGATGTAGACCTGTATAAAGTATATTATGTTTGTATACAAATTACATTGTGACATTGTGCTCAAAACCGAAGCTGTCTCCTTTGTTATTACAATATACACGAATTACTACAAAAGTGATCATTAAATAACAGAACTAATAACAATGGATAGAATTTTTTCATTTAATTTTTTTAAAAAATAGAAAGAGTCAGAAATTTGTTCTCGAAAAGTGCATTTAGTGACTTAATTCTTTAAAATATGATTTATTTTCACAAAAGAACCCCGAAATAACAGCAGTATATAAATCACGAGGCCAACCTAATGAGGTATAGACCAATAAATCAATTTATTGGAAATATTTTAAATGATAAAGCGATAACGGTGATAGATTGTCATTCCCTTATAACAATCAATAAATATCCAAATCCGTATAAATTATCCGTGACTGACTTATCATTATATATCATTTTAGAATTTATATGTAAAGGCGGTTAAGGTAGACACTGTTGTATTTAACATCTGGAATGTGACATACTTCCAAATCTTTCGTCATCATGCATTGTATCAAAGGCATGACTTTTGATCTTTGCAGGTGCAAATTACGCAATATCTCAATTTTTTTCCTTGCATTTTTACCTAGTGCAGATTTAGAATTCGTAAATTTTTTTCTTCCATCGAATTTCCTGCCAAAGGTATATGTTCTAACTTGTCTGCCATTTATCTCTATCATTCGATGACAAATATGTAATTTTTTTATGAAATAATATTAGTGATTTGATTAATATGCTATATAAAATTTAACACTAGATACATGTAATGATAAAATCAATGGTTTTGGATCACAGATCCGCACCACACTAATTTTAAGACCTCTGATTGGCTGATGGATTTGACATTACCACATTACAACCGCAATCATCTTTCACCGAGACAATATCTCGTCCAATCTCGTAGAGATCGTAAAGGGTCAAGGATCAAAATTACTGCTAGCACGTATCTGTAAAAATACCTGCTATACAGATAGTTAGATAGCCCACTAGCACACTGAGATACTCATCACTTGACCAAAACTCTACCTCGTAAGTCAAACCATTCACCTCCTAAATGTCTCAGTCGGTTAAAAGAAATCTTAATTTATCTAAAATTAGCGGGAATATCAAAGGAAGTTATGAAGAAGTTCTTTGTCCTAAATACAGACATTTAAATGATTTTCTATTTAAGTATGTTTGTGTACATAGAGTCATTGTAACATTGCACGTACTTGTTTTAAATACTTCACATCTTTTTTTTTCCAAAACTAAAATTTTCATTCACAACATTTTCATCAATAGGCCTCGGTTCTGCATTTATTTTGAAGTGTCGGTATATCAAGATAAGTTTTCTTTGTGATATATTTGAGAAGGTTGAAATAATTTGTCTGTCTTATGTCACAAACGACTATCAAAATTCAATAGTTATCGAGGTTTGTAAAGTTTTGATAATTAAAGCATAGACAGAAATATGAATATCTTGACATGCCCATTGACCATGATGATTTTACTATTTTGTATCGTGTTATGTGATAACATTGTACACATGTTGGAATTATCTAGTTATAAAAGTGCCGTTGGAAAATGCTTTTCTTTTTTTTTTTCTGGGATTGAAGCTGGATGGTTCGATGCTTATTGGTGTGTCTGGTGGTTGTGTTCTCATTTGAGAAGAGACATTACTTGTTTGGATTGACCAAACTTTACATGACGGGTGTGGTCGATGAAGCAGAAGACGCTTACCCATCCGTAACACCTGGACTTATTCTCCTTGTCTTTATATAGACCAATATGTATAGAGTTTATATAGACCTCACTGTATAGACTTTATATAGACCTCCCTTTATAGACTTTATATAGACCTCTGTAAACAGACTTTATATAGATCTCTCTATACAGACTTTATACAGACCTCTATACCGTCTTTATATAGACCTCTCTGTACCGACTTCATATAGACCTCTCTGTATAGACTTCATATTGACATTTATGTATAGACTTTATATAGACCTTTATGTATATACTTTATATAGACCTCTCTGTATAGACTTTATATAGACCTTTATGTATAGACTTTATATAGACCTTTATGTATATACTTTATATAGACCTCTCTGTATAGACTTTATATAGACCTTTATGTATAGACTTTATATAGACCTCTCTGTATATACTTTATATAGACCTCTCTGTATAGACTTTATATATACCTCTCTGTATAGTCTTTATATAGACCTCTCTGTTTAGACTTTATATAGACCTCTCTGTATAGACTTTATATAGACCTCTCTGTATAGACTTTATATAGACCTCTCTGTATAGACTTTATATAGACCTCTCTGTTTAGACTTTATATAGACCTCTCTGTATAGACTTTATATGGACCTCTCTGTATAGACTTCATATAGTTTAGACTTTATATAGACCTCTCTGTTTAGACTTTATATAGACCTCTCTGTATAGACTTTATATGGACCTCTCTGTATAGACTTTATATAGACCTTTATGTATAAACTTTATATAGACCTCTCTGTATAGACTTTATATAGACCTCTCTGTAAACAGACTTTTTATAGACCTCTCTGCACAGACTTTATATATACCTCTCTGTACATACTTTATATAGACCTCTCTGTACAGACTTTATATAGACCTCTTTGTATAGACTTTACATAGACCTCTCTGTATAGATTTTATATATACCTCCCTGTATAGACTTTATATATACCTCCCTGTATAGACTTTATATAGACCTCTCTGTATAGACTTTTTATAGATCTCTCTGTATAGACTTTATATAGATCTGTTTGTATAGACTTTATATAGACCTGTCTGTACAGACTTCATATATATTTCTTATAGACTTTATATAGACTTCTTTGTATAGACTTTTTATAGACCTCTCTGCACAGACTTTATATAGACATTTTCGTACAGACTTTATATAGTATAGACCTCTCTGTATAGACTTTATATAGACCTCTCTGTATGACTTTATATAGACCTTATTGTACAGACTTTATATGGACCTCTCTGTATAGACTTTATATGGACCTCTCTGTATAGACTTTACATATACCTTTTTTTATAGACTTTATATATACCTCTATGTACAGACTTTATATATATAGACTGTAGCTCATCTGATTTTTAATCATTAAATCTGGACTTATTCTCCTTGTCTTTATATAGACCAATATGTATAGAGTTTATATAGACCTCACTGTATAGACTTTATATAGACCTCCCTTTATAGACTTTATATAGACCTCTAAACAGACTTTATATAGATCTCTCTATATATAGACCTCTATGTCTTTATATAGACCTCTCTTTATATACCTCTCTGTATAGACTCATATTGACATTTATGTATAGACTTTATATAGACCTTTATGTATATACTTTATATAGACCTCTCTGTATAGACTTTATATAGACCTTTATGTATAGACTTTATATAGACCTGTATGTAATACTTTATATAGACCTCTCTGTATAGACTTTATATAGACCTTTATGTATAGACTTTATATAGACCTCTCTGCACAGACTTTATATAGACCTCTCTGTATAGACTTTATATAGACCTCTCTGTATATACTTTATATAGACCTCTCTGTATAGACTTTATATAGACCTCTCTGTATAGGCTTTATATAGACCTCTCTGTTTAGACTTTATATAGACCTCTCTGTATAGACTTCATATGGACCTTTATGTATAGACTTTATATAGACCTCTCTGTTTAGACTTTATATAGACCTTTATGTATAAACTTTATATATACCTCTCTGTATAGGCTTTATATAGACCTCTCTGTATAGACTTTATATATACCTCTCTGTATAGACTTTATATGGACCTCTCTGTATAGACTTTATATAGACCTTTATGTATAAACTTTATATAGACCTCTCTGTATAGACTTTATATAGACCTCTCTGTAAACAGACTTTTTATAGACCTCTCTGCACAGACTTTATATATACCTCTCTGAACATACTTTATATATACCTCTCTGTATAGGCTTTATATATACCTCTCTGTATAGACTTTACATAGACCTCTCTGTATAGATTTTATATATACCTCACTGTATAGACTTTATATAGACCTCCCTGTATAGACTTTATATAGACCTCTCTGTATAGACTTTTTATAGATCTCTCTGTATAGACTTTATATAGATCTGTTTGTATAGACTTTATATAGACCTGTCTGTACAGACTTCATATATATTTCTTATAGACTTTATATAGACTTCTTTGTATAGACTTTTTATAGACCTCTCTGCACAGACTTTATATAGACATTTTTGTACAGACTTTATATAGAATAGACCTCTCTGTATAGACTTTATATAGACCTCTCTGTATAGACCTATATCTCTGTATAGACTTTATATATACCTCTCTGTATAGGCTTTATATAGACCTCTCTGTATAGACTTTATATATACCTCTCTGTATAGACTTTATATAGACCTCTCTGTATAGACTTTATATAGACCTTATTGTACAGACTTTATATGGACCTCTCTGTACAGACTTTATATGGACCTCTCTGTATAGACTTTATATAGACCTCTCTGTATAGACTTTACATATACCTTTTTTTATAGACTTTATATATACCTCTATGTACAGACTTTATATACACTTTTGTGTTTGGACATTCTGAGACTGTAGCTGCCATCTGTTATCGATTTTTAATCATTAAATGATTTCAATTATACACAAGATTCCTAAATTCTAGATTTACAGCTTCATCATTCCTAAACAAAAAACATCCGTCATAATGACTACCAGATTCTAGCAGGATTACTAATTGTTCACCAGACGGTATCGAATTAGGTGTTTAACGGCAATTAACAGTTCCTAACATCACATTTGGTAGCAACACGTTTAGGGTTTAGAAATCCAAGCTGACATCAGACGGATTCGGTAACCACATGGCCTGCGTGTTTTACGTGTTGTGTGAAGGCAAAATGTAACAACAAGTCCGTTATATTCGCGCATGCGTATTTGTGTAAAAAATATAGTCATAGTGACACGGTAACAAATGACCCAATAAAAAAGCTCCAATATTTAAAATATAATCCTGAAACATACAACGATAAAAATTTCTTGTGAATATAGTAACCGAACTACACATAGATATATTTATTTTTGAAGCCTGCCATTTATAACGTATGTATGTTAAGCAGTTTTAAAACAAATTATACTGATAACATACCTCAAAAAGTTTGGCATTTTTATCAAAAGCTTGAAGCTAAAGAAACTGTTATAAAATGGACCCTAGATTTCTTTATAGATTTTAATTTCAAATTACAAGATTTTTCTAATTTTTGTAACTTCGTTCCATCCTTAAATCTAGCGAATAAATTACATCTAAGAAATAACAATTGTACAGTATTGAACTGCTGCTTACAGATAAAATATTCACAAAACATTTAGGCCCTTAGCATCGCCGACGAGTCCTAAAATGACGAACTAGTATAGAATGCAGCATATATAATTATTAAGATCTACAGTATCCGATTCTTAATTTGTATTAAAAGGTGTTATCAACTTTTTTTTTACCTTTTTGTACAATCTTTATTTAGGTTTCCGGATACTACTAACCAATGATTCCCAAACGCCATTAAGATACAACTACATATGTAAAAAAAACTTGGAAGCTATATTTTATCAACCCGTCTCGTTAACATTTTTATTAATTAGAATTGAACTGAGTGTCACGTGATCATGCCAATATGTCCCTGGTATGTGTCTCTCTGTAAGCGGTCCAAGAATCTCTAACCTTCATATCGATACATAGACGTATATTTGACATTCCTAAGAGTACAAATAGTAAAGAAATATCAACACACCATATTTACTTGGCTGGAATTCCACACGATAGATAACCAGGGTCGTGTTAATGATGGTATTGTCACTGTATAACTGACACAGCATGCGCCCTAATATCCACTTGTTACCACAAAATATCGATATATATAAATAGTGTAATGGACTAGGAATGCAAGGGTCATCCCATCAGGCCATGTATAATGGATTCCTTGCCGTTTCTCACTTTTCTCTTTTCTATGCAAATGTTTATTGAAGTGGCTACAATGACAATTTGTTAAAATATCAAAAACATTTTTCTCATTCTATAACTGACATCCAAGCTTGTTTGAACCTTCTTATCGAACATTCAATATTTGTCCAACGTGAATGGACATCTTGTTCCCCGGTATTTAAGTTTGCTCCATTAGATGCGTAAGAGATTTGTACCCTATGACGTTTTCATTTAGCAAGTCCACGCTAACTTAGCACCATCACGACAAAGCAAAGCAAAGTTAGCTTTAGACCAATATTCTATGAAAACACTAAATGGGGAAAATGTCATTCATATTAAGAAAAGAATGATTATTTAATTAAGGATAAAATATTCCTAAAGTCTTTCTCAATTATACGTCAGTACTAATATATTGTTGTCTACAATGTACACAACAGTACACCTCTCTTTCATGGTAAAGGGATTTTGATACAAGTAAACATTTTCAGTCAGTTGACGTTAATGATACAAGCATATTGTATTCACATAACAGTCAATTTATACAAATGAGATTTTTACACATTATAAGTTCCTGTACTGTGACAAAATGTGGACATTGGATGGCTTTGACCCTGTGTTTATTTTTCAATCCCAATTGAAGATATCAACGGGGAATTTCTATTTACGAAATGATCAATGTGAGGTTATTTATCCATCTGGATACTTGTGGTTTACCAATTAATTGACTGTATGTTGTATTACCTGTAGAGTGTTGAGATCAAAGAAATCCGCTGTACAGGTGTGACAGCTAGGTCTTTTATATTTTGATAAACATTGGTATAATGATTAGCAATGCGTAGTTGATACGTTGCTGCCATTCAGACACAAAAGTGCCGAGATCCACACGCCGATATACGGGGAACACTGGGGATTGGTGAGTGGGTTGTAAACCCACAGGTATCACCTTCATTGAAATAAACTTTTATAACATTTCATGTTTACTGCTTTTATTTACAATCATTCACTTTAAAATCCTAATTGTACTTCGACTGTAAACAGAAAGATAAAACCATTCAACCGTGACCCCATTGACAAAAATCAGGTAAAAGATTCTATAAACTGGGTAAACCGAGGTGTTGTAGAACTATTTGTACTAAACCCTAATCTGATATATGTTATTACTTGAAAATTCAATTCCTTGTGTACTAATTTCTGTATTCATAAGAAAGGCATTTATCTTTGTTTTTGGAAATCTTAATTCCAAACACAAAGTCACTGGTGCTTGGAAATTCTCGGATAAATATAAGTCTAGACAAGTTTCCCCATTGGCTCCTCCACATCATAGTTAAAATAGGGGCTGTTACCATATAAAAGTATTTTGTCATACCTTCGGAATGTTTTGGTCGGAACTTTCCGATTTAGACATTTGAAATTACATGGTAGTTGGTGTCGATTTCGTCCCTGTTTAACACAACCCGGTTTCAGGTATTAGTTTCAAAATGAAGCCGTCAACGGTGTGAATTAGCTGTTTATTTACAATAGACACACTACTATAAATTCTACCGATTACCACTACAAACCCGTCTGTATTTGAAGCATTAAGAAATGGGAATATATATGTACATATTTTTCAACTGTTTAATTCAAAATGATGTTGAAGTTTATGATCAAACTCTACAAAAATGCGTTATATTTTACATTCCACAAAATAGTTAGAGTATTAATTGTCACATTCCACTTACTTGATGTTTTAAAAATTAAATTGTTAACCATCTTTACGATTACATCAGCTCGTCAGCGCGTGTGCAAGATAAACAACGTTCTTTTCTTTGTGAAACAATATTATATTATAAGTTTTGATATCGAGTTTATGTTGAAATGTCGCTAGGATATAGATCTTTTAAATATACCTATTTGTACTCGATATATATTATTATGCACTAAATAATGTCAGGGACTTAACTCAAAAGTCTTTGACTGCCTGGTAGTAGAAGACACAAAATTGTACGAAAGACGTAGAGCTGATAAGCAAAATTTAATACAAATTCAACATTTGATACCGTAACTGTTGTATATTAAAGTATAACAGCATTTTCTGTGATTACATAACTATGAAGTTTCAGTGTGACAAAACTTTTTTTATTTTTTTTTTCAGACAAGAACAGGGAACGATGTTTGGTAAAGAAGGCGGATTTTATTCCGTGCTTATGGCAACGTCTTGAATGTCTTTTTAAAATGGCTACTCTTTAAGATTTCCTACTCTCATTAGACTATATTGTCGAAAGAGACTAATGATAAAGCTGCGAATTAACATCTTCTCAATTGTCTTTTTTATGGTTTAAGGAAGGTGTCGTGTTGTTTGCATTACCAAAGGATTTAATCAATAAATCGATAAAATGTGATTGATTGTCAAAAAGAAATAAAATCATAATTGTTTTTTTCTAGACGAGAAAAAAATAATACCTGACAAGAGACAGAACCGCTGATAATTTGAAGCTATACACTTAAAATACCCATTTATGGGCTTCTTGAATTATTTCTAATTCCAGTTCAACAAATAGATTTAGTGGGAACCAACATAAATGTCGAGCAATGTAGTAGAATGCAGTGTGCTTCTATACAAATATAATTTGGTAAGTTACCTTTTCCGAGGATAGGGCTTGCGTGAGGGTTCTTATTTTTCTTTTCCAATGTAGAACAGTTCCATCGATGGTCTTTTAGCTGGTGCTGGCATTCGTGGATCGCGACCTGAATGCCTTGAATGGCTGATGCTGTCACATCCGGGTGCTGGAAGCAGTGTTCATACTGACGGGAAGTCAAGGCTGGGTATGTTTTACAGACAGTGTTAGGGTCGAGGTTAGGTTCCGGAGGTAGATTTAACCGTAGGATATCGTTACTCATGCCCCTGTGAAGAGAAAATGTAGCATTTTGAAGACAAGGTTGAGACGTTTTACAGGGTGTGTAAGGGTCGAGGACAAGATCTCAGGGTAGACTTATCTGGAGAATATTGTTACTCATGCCCCTGTGAAGAGAAAATGCAGCATATCTAAGACAAGGTTTGGTGTGTTTTACAGACTGTGTTATGATCGAGGACAGGATCTTAGGGTAGACTTAACTGTAGAATGTCGTTACTCATGCCCCTGTGAAGGAAAATTGTAGCGTTGTTATGACAAAATATAACCTTACGAAAATCCGTGTTAATTACGCCACATAACGTTATTAATCGAAGTGAATTTCAAAAATTGATTACTTTACACAAGTCCTTGTGAGATACATGATATAACTTTACACAAGTCCTTGTGAGATACATAATATAACTTTGCCCATGTCCTTGTGAGATACATAATTTCTTTCACATATGTCCTTGTGACATACAAAACTGACTTTACATAAGTCGTTGTGAAAAACATAATATAACGTTACCGAAGTCCGTGTGGTGAAAAATCGTAATTAACAGAAGCTCAAGGATGATTTAAGTACATATCGTTTTTCCTAACAGAAGAAACTGTTCTAGTAAGTCCTCCAGCAGACCACGATCATAGTCCGATAGCTGCATTTTCAACTTGATGTCCGCAAGAGTTTGTAATAAGAATGATTGGTAATAATTTTTTATACGTTTTCGGAAATTCATAAATATATTTCTAAAAATGTATCTTGAGTGAGCTAGGGCAGTATCAGTACAATAATACCAAAAATGGTTGTCTCCTATCAATTTCTGTGTAATCTTCTAAATCAACAAGGACGTAGCAGAGAGAGAGAGAGAGAGAGAGAGAGAGAGAGAGAGAGAGAGAGAGAGAGAGAGAGAGAGAGAGAGAGAGAGAGCCTGACATCCTGACAGACAGAGAAACAAAATATAAGTGAAAATTATTTTTGAAGAGTTCCGTTTATAGGGTCAGAAAACAAATCATTTCTCTTTTTACCAACAACACGTATAAGTGTGTTATTTCGTCCTTGTCCAAGTCATGTGGAATTTCCAATGAGCGGTTCAAATCTTTGTTAGCAGTTATCTTTTTAATGGAGTTTCTTTTTCTCTGCCTACAAACGTGAGATGTTTGAACAAGCCCACTGGTGTGCTTTAGTCAAAGTACTGTGTAAAATCTCTGTTGAATGAGATGCTCTGAAATGCAGGATTTGACTTCTTAAATCATAAATAAACGGAACGATTATAAAGTCAACATACCGTTTTAATTAAGTGATGTCTAAAAGCACGAAAGCGCCCTTCAGATGGGCACAATTCTTTTTCAAATCAATTAAATGTAAATTACATATAAAGATTTTGCTTTCTTGTTTGATCAACTGATTTTCTGTCGAGGACAATATTCATATCTGAAGGAATGTGTTTGTCAAACCTCTTACGAAGCTCTTGTCATGGAACCTGATCTGCGGAAAATTCGTGAATTCACTAATTTGCGATTTAAGTCATGTCTCCTATTTCAGAATGAGGCAAGGAAAAAAGCGTCTTCACGGGTATCATTGGCCTTTTCAGTGATATTATCAGCAACGGTTAATATCTATGTTTCCAGTATGATAGCAATGCATGTGTTTTTTTTTTTGTATACATAACAAGTGGATTATTTTCTCTTTAAAGCTGTTCGATATGAGAAATGGAGATTTAAAATAAGAGAATTGAAGAAAATTCAAATTATATTAACTGAGTATTTTTTTCTTACAGCCTTGTTTAAGAAAATGAAATTTAAAAGGAATCTTTGTATTTAATTTATCTACTAATTAAGCCTCCGCACTGTTATAACGATTAAAGTTCTTTGCTTAGACATTATATCATTTTATCCTGCGCTTCGGGCCAGCCACTTTTGTCTTTCTGTCTCGAGCAAAAACGCAGTTTATGTTTCATGACATTGACTATGTATTCCTTTTATCCTGCAACATTGATTGGAAATCACTCACCATCAAAACTTCAACTATTTTGTTGTCCCTTCTTTGTTTACCTGACGTTAACGTTTTGCTGAATTTTGCCTGATGACGTACGCCAAAATAATAGCTCCGCTCAAAAATATAGTTCCACACTTGAACGAATATAACAGCAATTTTATTAATTTTATCACATATAAAATCGCTTATTTAAAAAGTTATTTTTATTATTAAACGTCTTTTTAAGTAATTTCAGAAAGTAATTCTGTCGAATCTTTTATCTTCACCCTTGCCAAAAGACAGCATATATTTTAAGATCATATATTCTCTATATATTTACCACGCTTTATAAATGTGCAGTCTCGAAAGATCCCTCACGAATAAATGAATACATATATATGTTATTGTTTCATTAATGTTTATTTGTGTTTGTTGCTAAATGTTTGATTCATGCCAAACTTTTTCTGTCTAGTTTCCTTACTGTTATATTCTTTCATTAGATGCATGATCAATATATTTCTGCTCTTATTATCAATTATCGTTATTGTAATGATGTTGTCTCTGTTGTTCAATGTTACCTAAATTTCCAAAGTAGTGCTGGGCCTAACCTTTCTATAGATGATTGTAGCAACCAACCGTCGTTTTTTATTTTATTTATTTCTTTACACAGGATTGGTAATGAATTTACCGAATAGAAATGAGAAAAAAACGGGGTAAACAGTCTTTGTGAGTTTTTACAAATATATATTAAGTGTCGACATCAACATGTCGTTACAAGCTGACAATAAATGTGTTACTCATTTCCTGTTGGTCAGAAAATGGTCACCCAAGTGTGTGGGCTGGTCCACATAACACCATAAAGGTTTAACGTTATAGAGGAAATAAAACTATAATGTCCACACAAACATGTGGTTTCAATGTTTGGTGTAAAGTACATAAACAGAATGTCGCGTCATCATTGACACTGCCTTCATTATAACCCGTGACGAAACTTAACTTCACCGTTGTTGTATTTGCTTGACAAGTGATGACCAAGATACAGAAATCGAGATTTTAATATAACATGATTAAATACTAGAAACATGTTAATATATTTCATTTATGTAATGATTCTATGAAACATATTAATTATAGAATAACTCTTTAAAACATATCAATTAAAGACTGACTCTATTAAACATATTAATTATAGATTGACTCTATTAAACATATTAATTATAGATTGACTCTATTAAACATATTAATTATAGATTGACTCTATTAAACATATTAATTATAGATTGACTCTATTAAACGTATTAATTATAGATTGACTCTATTAAACGCATTATTTAAAGGATGGTTCTATATAACGCTGATTTATTTTCCTGTTATGTGAAATATCGCTTTTATTATATTGATATATATTTACACGTATTCAAGCTCATAGTTTGAATAAATGAAAGATATTCCAGAATTTAAAACCAAAAGCGTTACACAATGTATACATGTAAAAAAAATAAAACTAATCTGCATCGTTTCACCCTCCCCTCCCTATTCTTAAAGCGAAATCAAACTTCATTGAATAAAAACTAATATAAAAATGTCACCACTGTTCACATTATGAAATGTGAACACCACCCAATCAACTGGTGTCAACTTTACTGGTAAAGTCATTCACCAAAAGATGACAGATTTTTATATTATCATCAATGTATTCATATATATAGGGTGATACACCAGAGCCTGCTGATGTGTGATCTTTAGTAATAGTAAGAAATTAAGTTTTTCAATCCAAATACAAAGTGCACTCAGTAAATTACAAGTAACTATATTTCATGACCGAGACATGATGGAATGGTATAGATAACATGTTTACTTGTTTATAGGTACAGAAACCTTTAAGTCATATCAGTGTGTCAACAAGAACATGTTTTATACATAATTAGTAAATAGAAGACTTTACAGTATCTAGTGACAACTTTAATTTCATAGAAATCTTATCCTAAATTGTAATGATGATAAAGAAAAAGGTAACCTGCAAACGATGTTGAGATATCATTCTTCAGTTAAACTGACAAAATAGCGTTGAGTTGAGAAATCTGTTTGTGTCAGGAGTTGGCCGTGTACACAATATAGACGGGCCATCAGTTATCAGTGAACCGTGACCTCCTTATGTGTCATCATTCAGGGACAGTAGGGGATACTGGTTTGCACTGAGTATCAGCCATTATGTAGCTGACCGTCCCAATACAGTGTTAACGACCCCACAAAACTCCCACACTCACCTGTACAGGTGATTCCATACCTAAACACTACTTTTTACAAATAGGAGATAATTTAGTTTTACCAGTTTCTATACATCGATAGCCTAATTTGTTAAATGGACAAGATGAGATTTGGATACGATCTGTGTAGCACCTGAGTGGGTTATCATTCCCCTTGTTTACCAGTATCTACTGCTTGTTTAAGGGGTATGTGTCCCCATGTTTATGGTCCCATTGTCATATCTCTCCGTTAGTCACACATGAGGGAGTCATCGAAATGATTTCTCATCAAAGGCCACCCACCCTGGGTACCTTCTTGTCCTATCTGAGGAACCAATATATGTCAGCCAAGGAGTAAATTGGGTGTTTAACGGTCCAACAACGCTAATCCTATTAGGGTAATGGTTGAAGGGGGCTGGGCCACCTTAAATTGGATTTCTATCATTAGCATTGATTAGATTAACAACGGGGTGTTTTTATAATGAGTGTTATTATCTGATGGCCTATAACACTATCGGTATCATGCGCAGCTCGACTGACTTGTCATCTTGTGCCCCCTGGAATTACATAAATTTCACTATTGCATTCCGAGAATAAACAATATACATTATTTCCATACCATTCCATACCTTACTTGAGTATTTAAAGAATTTTCAGTACTTTAAATTAATTTTGTTGACGGTCTTGTTTTTGATATCAGTGTTTTGTCTGACTTTTACTTCCCTAAACTCATCCACTCCAGGACTTTCATGTTTTCCACCCCTACCATCACTGGCGAGTCCGAGTAGTC